AGTAAAGAGTCTGTGGTTAGAACTGGGGCTTCAATTAAGGGTCTTACCACACTGCCCACATGACCAAAATGGAAAGCAAGGACAAACCAAGGGGAGAAATATTACAAAAGCAAAATGGGAAAATGGCAAACAGATCCTTTTCAATTAGCTGCTGCATTTATCTCTTCCCCCAAAAGAGAATCTTCTGCTGCTTCTGTTTCTTCATCTGCACAATGGGGATGTAGCCATCATACATGCCTGCAAGGCTGTAGTGAGATCCTGGACATGAAAGCATGCTGAAAAGTGAAAAGTACAATGCACCTGTGTTTCTGCCTAAGCTCTCTAAGGTGAGTGGCCTTAGATAAGTCAACATCTCCTGGCCTCAGCTTCTTTAATTACCGTATTAAAATAGGGGTAATAAGAATATCTCACAGGATTGTTGTGAGGAAGAAGTGAAATAATACAAAGTATTTTGGGGCCTAGAACATAAGAGTGCAATTATCGAGTTAGTAAGATTACTAGCCTAGTCAACTGGACTCTTTCCTGAAAGGAGGGGTATGGAAAAACCAATACTGGCCCAGGAACTGCAAGAACTAGGCTCTAACCAGCCGGGTGACCTTGAGCAAGCCGCTGACCCTCTCTAAATCGTGGTTCCCGTGGTCGCAAAATGAGTATTTTAAGAGAGGATCCCTGGGCTCCTACCAGCTCTTCCACTCCGCTGTTAAGGCGCCGGAACAAAGGCCACCCGCTCCCCAGCCCCTACCCGAGGGGCCACAACTCAAAATTCCTTCTGCTCAATTCCCTTTGCAGCGTGACAGCAGGAGCGCCCGGCTCTCCATCCCGGAGAGATGTGTCCACATGCCGCCGCCACTGCTCTCTTCATCAGCAACTTGCTTCTGCAGTCGCTGCCCAAAGTTTCGCGGAGCACCCGGCGACCTGGCCGTCGATCAATCCCGAGAAGCCCAGGGATTCGGGGCGCTGAGACTGGGGGCTGGGCCCCGGGAATCCCAAAGCCGCCCCCGCGTCCGGGCAGGGAGTGACAGGTGCGACGCACGGTCGCGGGCGGCGAGAGAGCGGACCACGCAAAGCGCGTGTGGGCGCGCGAGGGAGGCGGCAGCCACGCGCTCTCCTTAGGCCGCTCCCTGAGACGCCCCCGCGACGTCCCTGGCCCCGTGCTCTGGAACCCGCGACCCTCGCGCCGCTTTCGGCCCCGCGGCGCCCCAGATCCCACGGCCTCCCGGAGCGGCGCGGCTGGGCAGGGCTCAAGCTCGCAGCGCCGGAAGGGTTGGGGACCGCCGGGGGGACAGTGCGCACTGGGTTCTTCCCGCGCGAGCCGGGGCTGTCTGGGGGTGGGCGCACGCGCACCCGGGCGTGCCGCCGTAACCCCTTCCTCCCCGCGCGGCCCCCGCACTCCCACCCACCCACCAACCACTCACCGTCGATGTCCCCCAGGGTCAGCTCGTCGCCCAGCTCCGTGAGGGTCTCCATGGTCTCCAGACCGCCCAGCTCGCCGCTCTCGTCCATCGCCCGGCTCAGCGCAGAAGCCCCCCTGCCGTCCCGCTCAGGGAGACGCGGGGGCGGTGCCGTCGCCACCGCCCATGACACTCGACAACCCCCGCCCGGTACCGCCTCACCGGCGGGTGCCACCCGCCGCCATGTTTGCGTTGCGCCCGGGCGCCGCACGAAAAGGGCGGGGCGGGATTCCCCCGCCCTATCCCGCGCCCCCTGCGGCCCCGCCTCCAGGCCGCGCGCCCCCCTGTTTGTTGTCAATGGGACCAGGCTCATCTCAGCCAATGGGCGCGCGAGGCGGCGCGTGGGGTGATGGCGCGTCATCGATCAGCAGCTCAGATTTGCATAGTGAGGTTCCACCCCTCGCGGCCTCGGAGCGAATGCCCGGAGTAGCCGCCCGGTCATCATCTTAACTTTCTCCGCCTTGTTTAAAGGAGCCGCTGCCTTCTCCGTTGGATCTGCGCCACACGCAAGTCCGTTCACTGGCCTGGGAGTGAAGGGTTAACAGGCTATCCTCCACCTGCGACCGCTGGCCGCCTCCAGCCCTGGCTGGGAGCACATTACGTCATCTTCCCAGCTGCCTCCCCGCACCCTGACCGCCTGAGAAAACCGGCGGAGTCAAACCTGGGCCCCCGGCGCTCGGGACCGGAGTCCGGGTCATCCAAGTCCCGCTTCTCACAGCCCCCTTACAAAGGCGGGCACGGAGGCTGACAGGGTTGCGAATTGTCCCAGGGCGGTCAGGATTTTACGTCTTCTGCCTTGCACCCGCCGTGACCTCGCGCTTTCTCCAGTGGTCCTCAATCCCTGGCACCTTGGAACCACTGAGGACCTGAAAACCACGTCAGTGCCCGGGCCCGCCGCCGGCCTCCTGAGAGGGGGGGCCCCGGGCATGAGTTTTTTGAAAAAGTTCCACCAGGATTCTGAAGCGCAGCCCACCCACGAATTTCCACTTCTTGAAGCACCTCACTGCCCCGTCTCGCAGCTGGTCGTGTTGTAAACTTCTAGGAATTTAGCCTAAGGAATAAAAATTACAAGTGCTTAAAGAAATGCTGTAGGCCGGGCGCCGTGGCTCACGCCTGTAATCCCAGCACTTTGGGAGGCCGAGGCGGGCGGATCACTGGGTCAGGAGATCGAAACCATCCTGGCTAACACGGTGAAACCCCGTCTCTACTAAAAATACAAAAAATTAGCCGGGGTGGTGGCGGGCGCCTGTAGTCCCAGCTACTCGGGAGGCTGAGGCAGGAGAATGGCGTGAACCTGGGAGGCGGAGCTTGCAGTGAGCCGAGATCGCCTGGGCAACAGAGCGAGACTTCGTCTCAAAGAAAAAAAGCAGCACTGTAACTAGGAAGAGGTGAGAATAAGGAAATGAATATGTAAATTACATCCACACGATGGAATACTAAGGGATCATTAAAAATTATGCACACAAATGTATATTTATTGGCAAGAAGAGGCGTTCGCAATATATTGATAAAAGGGAAAAGTAAGTTTCCTGCCAGTTTGTGAGAGGCAGCTGTTGCTTAGTGATCAATAATTAAGAACACACAGGCTGTGTGGAGGCAGACACGTGGATCCACTAATTCACTGTGTGTCCTTGGGCTGTTTAATTGTTCTAAGCCTCAGTTTTGTCATCTCTAAAATGGGGATAAAATAATATCCCTCATAGCTGTGGTTAAGTGAGATTATTTGCACATTCAATTAACAATATTTATTGACCATCTCTGTGGCAGGGAAAAGAATGTGTCCTGCCCTCTGAGAGCTTCCAGTCTAGCAAAACAAAAAACCAAAAAAACCCAGAAATCCCACACGCATATTAAACATAAAAATAAATTACAGATGATGGTACAAGTGATCAAGGAAAGGTAATGGAGGTGATGAAACTAACAAGGGACCTGACTTGTGCTGTCAGGAAGACTGAAGAAGTAACATTTAAGATGAAACCTAAAATTATGAGAGAACTGCGGCTGTTACAGCCAAAGGGGAAATGATGGCATGGATAAAGGCCTCGAGGCAGGAGGAGCTCCTGGTAGCCAGCTCTCGGAATAAGCTTTGGCATACAGTAATTGCCTTGCATGCTGCTGTATGGCAATTGAAAAAATAAGGATCTGGCCAGGCGTGGTGGCTCACGCCGGTAATCCCAGCACTTTGGGAGGCCGAGGTGGGCAAATCATTTGAAGTCAGGAGTTTGAGACCAGCCTGACCAACATGGTGAAACCCCGTCTCTACTAAAAATACAAAAATCAGCTGGGTGTGGTGGCGCATGCCTGTAATCCCAGCTACCCGGTAGGAGAATCACTGGAACCTGGGAGACAGAGGCTGCAGAATGCTGAGATCATGTCACTGCATTCCAGCCTGGGAGACAGAGCAAGACTCTGTCTCAAAAAAAAAAAAAAAGAAAGAAAGAAAGAAAAAGAAAAGAAAAGAAAAGAGAGAGCGAGAAAGAAAGAAAAAGAAGAAAAAATAAGGATCTATGTGCTCACCCGAAGGTTAAAAAGGATGGAAGACCCAACAGCTGGCTGTCAGACATTGTTATAGGAGTAGTGAGATTTGGGGTGAATTTTACTTTCTTTTTGGCATTTCAGTATTGTTTAAATTACCTTTTATAATGAATGTGTATAACTAATGAGAAATAGTGTCTTTTTTTGGGAAAACAAGACAAGATTGTTCTCGTCATTGTTTACACACAGGGAGGCTAGTATAGAATACACCAGTCTCACCCCGAAAGACACAGAAAACTAAACCCTGCTCTGGACCCAGCACTGAGCAGGAAGGTGCCACCTTCAACTGTGCTGCCTAGTGGCTCTTGCAAGGCCCCTCACACTAGTGTGTGACTGGTACTCTGGGGGGATTCAGCAACAACTCCCATACAACTCACTCTGGCCCAGGTCACCCCCACAACTCAGAATCTCAGTAACCCCCTCCAGAGGTGGCACACAGCACCTGTTTCCATAGTTCACTGGTGAACCTGCCCAGAGGCCGTGATGCCTGGCCAAGTGGACTGAGGGGGTACAAGTGAAGGTTCAGTAGAAATGGTGGAAGAATAGTGGCTGGACCCGAACCTCAGGAAACATTGGTATTTTCCCTCTGGCCCTGGGTCCCACATAACTGAACATCTCTTCCAGGTGGTACCTTGCTCTGGCTAGCAGGAGGACAAGGGCTGGCTCTGAGATGTAGAGCAGCTTTTGACAAGTCCCTCCTCAGGACCTGAGCTCTTCATCTGAAGAGGGATGGACAGCCGGGCGCGGTGGCTCACACCTATAATCCCAGCACTTTAGGAGGCCGAGGCAGATGGATCATGAGGTCAAGAGATCAAGACCATCCTGGTCAACATGGTGAAACCCCATCTCTACTGAAAATACAAAACTTAGCTGGTCGTAGTGGCAAGTGCCTGTAGTCCTAGCTACTCAGGAGGCTGAGGCAGGATAATCACTTGAACCTGGGAGGTGGAGGTTGCAGTGAGCCGAGATCGCACTACTGCACTCCAGGCTGGCGATAGAGTGAGACTCTGTCTTAAAAAAAAAAAAAAAAAAAAGAAAAGAAAGAAAGAAAAGGGATGGACGATATGGAAACACTACGTTTCCATATCTACCATGGATTGGGTACCTGCTACGGGTCACAGAAGAGAATTTTATATATGGTTTTTCATTTACTTCCTCTGACCCTTCCTCTTCCCTCAATCTTTCAGGATTCAGTTCAGATATTACTTCCTCTAGGAAACCTTCCAATTGGATTAACCAAAAGTATGTACTCCACTGTTTGACACAGAGATGGGGTTAGAGAGGGAAATAACAAGTTTGGTTTTGGAAACATAAGTGATGAGAATTATCAGGTAGTAACAGGGCAAGTATTCAGCTTTTAAGTCTTAGAGGGTATGGCTGCCCAAGAAGAAAATAGAAACAGCCCCACAAAAACTTCATGCAAATGGGGGCAGGTGAGGAAAGAATAATCCAGAAGTGACAGCAGGCTCAGGCTTGACAGCAGGGAACTACAACAAGAAGCCTGAGAGAATCACCTCAAGGAGTTGTCAACAGCATCTCTCTGAGGACAGTGATGGGGAGGGGAGGAAGATGTGGGACTGGAATAAGGAGAAGAGCTGTGGACCAGGGAGGTTTTCCCTCCCAGTGGACATCTGGCAATGTCTGGAAACATTTTTGGTTGTCATAACTGGGGGACTGCTACAGGCATCTCGTAGCGAGAGGCCAGGGATGCTACTAAAATAGCATACAATACACAGGACAGCCCTCCTCACACACACACCCCAAACAATTATCTAGCCCCAAACGTTAATAGTGCCATCGCTGGAAAACGCTGGCTTAAAGGATATCAGGGAGCTCACAGACTCCCCGATGGTTCCAAAGACTGGGCCTAGCAGCTCAGTAGACAGGAGCAATGTCCAAGATCACACTGAGAACACCACTGTTGCCACCACTGGGCATCCCTGGCACTGGTCACTGGACTTGGCACTAGAACCACCCCTTCGCTGCTGCCCCTGGTACCTGTGACCACCAGCACGACTCCCACAGTGGTATATACAGTTGGTAGAGCTATAGTCACGTAACAATCCCAGCTGCAAAAGGCGGCTGGACAAACATGTGCCCTAGGGCCTTTACAGCTGAGGGGGTGGGCTCTGCGTGCAGTAAGACTCAGAAAGTGGACTTCCTGGAGCAAGTGACTATAACAATCAACAGTGGCGGCAAAGGGAAGGAGAGAGGCAGCCAGTGGAGTAGTTCTATTTGTTTCTTTGAAGGTGCCCATTTGAGGGTGGAAAGGACAGGATTAACCAAGATGGAGAGAGGATGAAGGTATTAGAGGGAAGAGCCCAGGAGGAAGGAGGTGCCAGAAGGGGCAGATGAGGAGATAGGTAAGACCAGGCCCCTCTCTTTGGCTCTGATACAGCAGGCAGTCAGTAAATCTATAGGATGAACAAGGAACCATCAGAGAAGGGCACACATCACTGAGAAGTCACTTAAATTCCAGGTTTCATCCTTTCAACCACCGGGCATTCTGAGATGGGGGGGTGCCCAAGGATCTGAGTGTGAAGAGCCTGGTTCTGATAACAACAGCTGGCAAGAGACAGCCCAGGCTGGTCCCAAGTTGCCCAGGTCTTGCCACCACACTGGGCTGCCTTCCCTGTTGCTCTGCAGTTGCCCAGCTCTGCTTTAAATTATACAAATCCTGCTAATGACAGAGACCCTAGAAGTTATTCAGTAGAACGAACCTCCAGCCGAAGCTGGACCCACACCTGACTGTTCTGAGGTATCCCTTGACCTCCCTGCCACCCCAAGAAAACTCAGTCTGCTGCCAAGCAGGCCTGGTTCTTAGAAAGTTTTTTCCCCAGTTAAGGGGAAAGCAAAGCACCTTCTCTGCTAAGTCAGCAACCACAACCACTCTCCAGCATGAAGAGGACAGTGACTGGCCTGGTCCTCCCGGCAGGGAAGAGCTTGTGGGCTGGTCCTGACCCCCAGCTCCAGCTGCTGGCACCAGGACAGGTTAAACAGCTGAGCCAGTGAATCTGACCCTTCCCCACTGATGCAGGAAAATAGGGTCTGGAGGCACGGAACATAAGGCCAATTCACGCTTCAGCTGTAACAGGAAATATCCTCCCCATAGGGCATATGCTGTAAATGAATTTGTAAATTTACTTCATCCTCTCCATTTACATAGGGTGTACCTCAGGTAACCAATGGAATCCTCTAGGGGGTATATACTCCCAAAAATTCTGTAAGGGGCCCCTTGAGCCCCTATGCTCAGGCCCTCTCCCACACTGTAGGGTATACTTTCATTCTCAATAAAACCCTTCATTCCTTCCTTGCTTTGTACATTTGTCCAATTCTTTGTTCAAGACACTAAGAACCTGGACACCCTCCACTGTTAATGCCATGGTCTAGCCCTTTAGTTCACAGACTCTGGTGTCCATGTGGCTGGGGTCACACAACCTGAGAGGGGCAGGGTGGAGACGGAGCTAGGTCTGTTGAGTCAGTCCCACCACACTGCCCTGCCTCCACTGCCCAGTGAGTGCGCCCAGGTGGCTGGTGCAGTTCTGATGGGGAAATTTCTCCAGCACTCCTCCCAGCCCCCACACCCAGCTCTCTTCCAGCTGCTTCTTGTCCCTTTACTTCTGAGTAACTGACGGGTGCAGGATGTTCTGGGCCCTTCCATGAGGTTCAGCTTCCGTAAGGCTCAGCTTCCCTTTGTTGCCACAGCCCCGCAGAGAGGCCAGCCTCAGAGAAACAGGTTAGGGCTGGGCAGGGGATTCAGATACCATCAAATTCATTTTGCCAATGAAGCTGCAGCACAGGGAGGGGAAAGGGTGGGCCAGGGAGAGTCAGCAATCTGAAGGGCTAAGACTCAGATCTAACTTGGGCTCTGTCAGTGGTAGAGGGTTGGGTGTCGAGGGGATCTGGGATGGTTTTCTCTGCTTCTTTAAGAGGCAGATCCTGACTTGGCAAGGTCAAAGAGGCAGAGCTAGAATTCTCACTAAAGCCCTTCCCTCCTCTCCTTGGGAGGGGCATGAGTGTACCCAGGGCCACATGCCCTCTGCATCTTCCCTGCCCTGTGGCCTCCCGAGACGTGAAGCTGTCTGACCCGTGCAGCTTATGGCAGCCATTGCGGAGTATGGCCTCCTGCAGGGCTGCGGCCTGTCCCCCTGCAGCCCCCCACCCACAGGTTGACTATCTTCCAGCGCTGCTGAAGAGAACAAGCTGACTTCCCTGTACTTGCTCAATGACTGTCCCCAGACATCTGAGGACAGAGATCATGTTGCTCCAAGGTCTTCTTGAGCTAAATGTTTCTCAGATCCCAGGACACTTCCAGGTCCCTTCCCAACACCAATCCTTTGTCAAGGGCAGTGCTGGGGTAGGAACAGGAGGCCCAAGCCAAGTCCCTTGCTTCTCTGCCCCGCCAGGGCCCGGCCCCCACCACCGGTCGGGAAGAAACATCCTCCAAGCTGTTTCTACATCCCTGAGCCTTGGTTGGTCCAAAGGGTCCGCTGGCTTTTATTGTGTCTCTGCAGAGGGGCTGGGACCTGTGCCGGGCAGCTCTGTGACACTGTGGGGCCAGCAGCAGGGTGGCACCCTCACCTGTGGCTCAGAACCTACTTCTGCTGCTTCCCCACCAAGAGTGGAAGCCAGCTGGCCAGAGGTTTTCAGCCACCAAAAGAGTCCAGGCAGGCATCCCCCTGCTTCCCCCAGCAGTCTGCACAGGGTCATATTTCCAGTATAAAGTCCTCTGAAGGCCCCTTCAGCAGGAGGCCCCTGAGAGAAAAGCCAGCCATCTGAGGCTCAGTCCCTTTAGCCAGGGCTCAGACCCAGCTCCAGGGGGCTGGGAAAATGTGGCCTCTCCTTCTGGAAGGGGCTGGCTGGTGCTCTCCACCACAACTACATCTCCACCTCTTCTTCCTCCCGACCTGCCTCCTTGTGGCCCCTTGAGCCCTGAGCTGCTCCAGGGCTATAACTCAGACTGGGATCTGGAGATCCTCGGGCCTTTTCGGATCTCTTTCCGCTTCTCCTCTTTCTTCCGGCGTTTCTCTTCTTCTCTCAGGGCCTTCTGGAAAGGGTCAGTGCTGGGAATGAACTGAAGGGAAGAGAAGAGAAGTCTGATTTAGTCTGTGGCAGCAAAGAGCCTGCTCTGAGTTAGGCCACCAGCGGGCTGTGGGAATAGGAAGGTTCCCTGGACACAGGCCCTGCCCCAGACATGCAGACAGTGAAATGGGTTTGGGGAGAACTGCTGAGTGTGTGTTGGAAGATACGCAGGAGTTTGCCAAACCAACAGCATGAGGGAAGAGAAGAGTATTCTAGGTGCAGGGACAGACACTGAGGTGGGAACCTACATGGGGCATCTGAGAAACGATACACAGATTCCTCCAGGGTGAGGGGATAGAGTGGCTGAGACCACCACAGACCCGGGAGCCCCACACCTGCTGCACCCTTCAGGAGGAGAGGAGAGAGGTCAGCCAGAGTCACAGATGACAGAGCAAGTAGCGGGGGTGGAGGATAAGGACTTCATTGGCAGCGGGAGATGGCGGGGGGGGAGGGGCATTCTTCAACTGCAACCCAGGCCCTTGGCTTTCCTCCCTCATCTCTCTCCAGACCGTCTCATCTAACTCATAGCTTCTATTGGCCTGTGTGGTCAGTTACCCCTCAAACTTGCATCTCCATGTTCAAATGCCTGTCTGAGACCTTCTTTAGGATGTCCCAAATGCACCCTAGACTCAGTATGGTTCCCTCTTCCCAGAGTACCTGTTCTGATGAGCAGCAGGGCAGAAACCGAGGAGCCCCACCTGCACCGGGCATTTCCTCTCCCTCCTTGGGTCCATCACCAAGGCCTGGCTGATTTCAAGCCCTAAATCTCTCTCAAACCCATCCACTTCTTTGTCTCTACTATTGCTGCCCCCATCACCACTCCCGCCTCTCTGCTGGATGACTCTAGGGGCCTCCCAAGGGCTTTCCACATCCCCTTTGGTCCCTCTCAAGTCATTCTCCTCACTGCAGCTGGATCTTTCCTTTTCTTTTTTCTTTGAGACAGAGTCTTGCTCTGTTGCTCAGGCTGGAGTACAGTGGTGCGATCTTGGCTCACTGTAACCTCTGCCTCCTGGGTTCAACTGATTCTCCTGCCCCAGCCTCCCAAGGAGCTGGGATTATAAGCACCCACCACCACACCTGGCTGATTTTTGTATTTTTAGTAGAGACAGGGTTTTGCTATGTTGACCAGGTTGGTCTCGAACTCCTGACTTCAGGTGATCCACCCACCTCAGCCTCCCAAAGTGCTGGGATTACAGGCATGAGCCACTGTGCCGGACGGATCTTTTCAAAATGAAAATCTGTTCATGTCACATTCCAGCTTCCATGGCTCTCCATCACTCTCAAGACAAAGTTCTACATGGGGTATCTGCAGGTCTACCCCGGCTGCCTCTCTGTTCCTACCTCATATCCTCCGCCTTTATGTTCTTGGATTCCCTGTACCCTCTCACTTCCAGGCCTTTGCATGTGCTGTGGCCGAGGCCCAGAATGCTCTTTCCAGCACCCACCCTTCTGCCACATTAGCTCGGGCTCAGCTGGTTCACTGCCCTCTAGACCTGCCTTGACTCCCTGAGGGGCTGCTCCTGGTGGTGTGCTCTCTTCGACTTTGTGCTGATTCCTTCTTTCTTGTGCCCATCGCCCTCCCAAACAGCACATTCCGTGAGGGTAGGAGGATAGTGTCCTCTGCCACAAGGCCTTAGCACAGAGTCTTCCTGGCTTTTCGAGAGCACTCAATACGTGTTTTTTTCAATGAATGAGCAAGCCACGTTAGAATAGGAAATACAATAGTACAGCAGGTCCTCGAATAATGTGGTTTAGTTCAAGGTCGTGTCATTATAATATGGATGAGAAAAAAAAAACCAATCGATTCCTGGCTGGGGCCACTGTGTGGAGTCCGCACATTCTCCCCATGTTCTGGTGGGTTTTCTCCGGGTACTCCAATTTCTTCCCACATCCCAAAGATGTGCATGTTGGGTTCACTGGCATGTTTATACCGTCCCAGTCTGACTGTGGAGGTGTGTGTGAGTGCGCCCTGTGATGGGAGGGCGTCCTGTCCAGGGTTGGTTCCTCCCTTATGCTCTGAGTTGCTGGGAGAGGCTGGACCCTGAACGGGACTAAATGGATAAATAATTATCTTACTTGTTTTGATGAATCTTTCTTAAATGCATGTACAGTTCACATTTATTTCAATGTTTCATATTAAGAGTGTTTTGGTCTTTATTTTGAAGACTAGAATTGGGCACTGTGGCTCATGCCTATAATCCCAGCATTTTGGGAACCTAAGGTGGGTAGATCACTTGAGGTCAGGAGTTCGAGATCAGCCTGGTCAACATAGCGAAACTTCCTCTCTACTAAAAAATACAAAAATTAGTCAGGTGTGGTGGTGAGCGCCTGTATTTCCAGCTACTTTGGACGCTGAGACAGGAGAATCACCTGAACCCAGGAGGCGGGGGTTGCAGTGAGCCAAGATTGTACCACTGCACTCCAGCCTGGATGACAGAGCGAGACTTTGTCTCCAAAAAAAAAAAAAAAAAAATCTGGTAATAGTTTTTTGACCAGAAATATGCTGTAGTAACTTAACTCTTAATTTATATCAATTAGCCTATGGTAAGTTGGTTGGTAATACATAGATTCACTTAAAGTCACAGTTTCCAAGAACCTATGGATGATGTTGTGAAGATGTACTTTGCCTACAACTGAGGTAGCTGTGCTGTAAAACACACCCTTTTATTTGTTCTTAGGGCAATAGTGACAAACGTTTGATCTGATCAAAGTAGATACTAAAAACAAACAAATAGCTCCACCTTGTGGAGTAATCTGCCTACCAGGTTAGATTAAGTCATGACTCTGGAAGATGGGGGGATTCACAGAAGTGTAGCCCAGAGAAGGTAAGTGAGTCACACAGCATGTGGTAGGCCCAACTAGGACTAGCCTCGCAGGCTGCACACTTCCCAGCCTAGTACTTCCCTACCACACTCTGCTCCTATCTCTGTGAGTGAATCCTGATCCACTTAAGACAGGGAGCTGGGAGACCCCTTAGGCCCCAGAGACCCCATTCCTCTCTGACTCTGGCTGGGCAAGGGCAAGTCAAGAGATCTTAGCCCCTTCAGTCTCAGCGGGCTCAGCTCAAACTAGCTGGGTCAGAAAAGAAACACACCCATCCTTTCCCCATTCCACCTAGGCCTGACAGTGCCTACTCATCTTTCGAGTCTACTTTAGATGTCTCCCCAGGAATCTTCCCTGGCCACCCCTGATAGTACCTGACCAGCCTGGGTCAGGTCAGCAGGCTGACGGCCAATACAGCATTGTGGCTAAGAGCATGGCTCAAGAGGCAGACCACATGTATTTGAACCTTCATTCCATCACTTACTGGCTGTGAGACCTCAGCTTGATTACTGTACCTCCCTATGCCTCTGCTGTCTTCACTGTTAGGCTAGTTATCAATTTATTTCCTCTCTATTCCGAATTCACTCTTCATCGCCTGCTCTGTGAAAATGCATCTGGCTCCAAGATAGAGCCCCAAACTCCTAAGCTTGGTGTTGAAGGGACCGGACCCCATGCTACATCTCCAGCCTTATCTCCTCCTGTCTTCAAGCTACCCTGCTCTGCCTGTCCCTGACAACAACCACATCCTCCATAGCCTCAAGCATGCCACTCTGGCCACTGCCTTCTATCTTCTCTAACTCCTTAGCCCTACTATAACCACAAGCAGGCCCTCTGTGCTGCCAGCAATCCAGCCTCATTTCCTGGTCCGCTTATCCTCCTGCTCTCCTGCACATACCTTCTCCTCAAGCCTCTGTGCTCCCCTCACTCCCAGACCATGACCTTGCTTTCTATCTCACAGAGAGGATGAAAGCAGCAGGAGACAACCCCCACAGCTCCACCACCACACCCACCAACCCATTTACTTCTGTGCCCACATGCTCTGCCTGCCGTCCTGTTCAAGGTTAAGGATCTGCTCCTTCTGTACAAGGCCAAGCCTTCCCCCAGCACTACAACTCACCCCTCCTCACCTCCTCCAGATAAGGCTCCAGCAACCTGGCCCCTGGCCTCATCAGTTTCTCCCTCTCTAATGGATCAGTCCCATCCACACAGTGCAAGCCTGCTGTGGTCTCTCCCAAGGACTAACATTTGAAACCACATTGTCCTCCAGCTATTCTCCCATTACACTGCTCTCTTTGAAAGGAAAACTCTTCGAAAGGGCTGTCTACACTTGCCACATCCACTTCCTTTCCTCTCATTCCCTGGAAATCAAATCTTTTGTTCCCAGCACCCCGCCCCCGAAAGCAGCTTTTATCAGGATCACCAGTGGCCTCAACATTGCTCGGTCCAGCAGTCGATTCTCAGTCCTCGCCTTCCTTACCTCCCAGCAGCATCTGACAAGCTGATCGCTCCCTCCCTACTTCCTCTAACACTTTCCTCGTGTGGCCTCTGGGAAACTCTTGGGGCAGCCACCATCATGCTGACTGCTCCTTCGGGGGGTTCTTGCTGCTTCCTCCTCAGTCCTTCAACCTCTTATTTCCAGCCCCATCCCACGCCTCAGTCCTCAGACTGCTTCTATACCTGCCCAATGCCCCAGATGACTGTGTCCTGTCTCACGGCTTTTGGTGCCTTCTACATAGGCATGGCTCTCACATTTACAGGTCCAGCTTCTACTTCCTCCCTGAAGTCTAGAGTCAAATATCCAGCTGCCTCCTTGACATCTTTACTCTGATGTTCACCAGGTGCAGGAAAAAACTCTTGATACCCTCTGCAAGGATTTGAAAAAATGACAGTCCCATTCTTCCCGACACTCAGGCCAAAAGTCTTCTAGTCATGCTTAACGCTCCTCTCTCTCTCACCACATCTGCTTCCTCAGCAAATCCCACTGGCCCTACTTCCAAAAGAGAACCAGAACCTGACCATTTCTCACCAGATCCACTGTCATCGTCTGGTTCAAGCCACTATCAACTGCCACACAGATGAGCACAGCAGCCTCCACACCTGGGTCCCTGCTTCTGGTCCCTGACCATGCTCCACACAGCAGCCAGATGATCCCTTTAAAGTGGTAAGTCT